GCGGCATCAGGCAAACTTTATGCACTTATTTACCATGGTTATTGTGTGTATGTGGCGGGAGCTACCGATTGGGCAGTACAATGTCATGCTTTCACTTTTCGTGAACCCTTGGTGTCATCACCTATTTTAAGTGTTCCCTCCAGACGGTTTTCTTTCACTTCAAATGGACAGCGAATTCCTGCGGATAATTGAGACTGGTCATTTCCCGGCATTGACGTTCTTTACTGAGCTTAATTGACTGCACTAAGGCTCGCTCGTAATGGCGAAGAACCAGGTTCGATTACCCACATGGGTACCATGTGTGAAGCCCATTTCTGGTGTCCGCCGCCGTGATATTGCTGGAATATTGCTAAAAGCGGCGTAAAACTGAACTCACTCACTCACTATTTGCTAAACATGTTCGACTCCATTGACGTTCTTTGCTAAACCTGTTTGACACTATTGACGTTCTTTGCTTATCTTGTTCGACTCCATTAACGTTCTTTGATGAACTCGTTTGACTCCATTGACGTTCTTTGCTAAAATTGTTTGACTCCATTAACGTTCTTTGCTGAACCCGTTTGACACCATTGACGTTCTTTGCTCAACTTGTTTGACTCATTAACGTTCTTTGCTAAACTTGTTTGACACCATTGACTTATTTCCTAAACCTGTTTGACTCCGTTGACGTTCTTTGCTAACCTTGCTTGACACCATTAACGTTCTTTGATGAACGTGTTTGACTCCATTAACGTTCTTTACTAAACTTGTTTGACACCATTGACGTTCTTTGCTAAGATTGTTTGACTCCATTCACGTTCTTTGCTAAACTTGTTTGACTCCATTAACGTTCTTTGCTGAACGCGTTTGATTCCACTGACGTTCTTTGCTAACTTGTTTGACACCATTGACTTATTTTCTAAACTTGTTTGACTTCGCTGACGTTCTTTGTCAAACTTGTTTGACTCCATTGACGTTCTTTGATGAACGTGTTTGACTCCATTAACGTTCTTTACTAAACTTGTTTGACACCATTGACGTTCTTTGCTAAGATTGTTTGACTCCATTCACGTTCTTTGCTAAACTTGTTTGACTCCATTAACGTTCTTTGCTGAACGCGTTTGACTCCACTGACGTTCTTTGCTAACTTGTTTGACACCATTGACTTATTTCCTAAACTTGTTTGACTTCACTGACGTTCTTTGTCAAACTTGTTTGACTCCATTGACGTTCTTTGGTGAACTCGTTTGACTCCATTAACGTTCTTTACTAAACTTGTTTGACACCATTGACGTTCTTTGCTAAGATTGTTTGACTCCATTCACGTTCTTTGCTAAACTTGTTTGACTCATTAACGTTCTTTGCTAAACTTGTTTGACACCATTGACTTATTTCCTAAACCTGTTTGACTCCGTTGACGTTCTTTGCTAACCTTGCTTGACACCATTAACGTTCTTTGGTGAACTCGTTTGACTCCATTAACGTTCTTTACTAAACTTGTTTGACACCATTGACGTTCTTTGCTAAGATTGTTTGACTCCATTAACGTTCTTTGCTAAACTTGTTTGACTCCATTAACGTTCTTTGCTGAACGCGTTTGACTCCACTGACGTTCTTTGCTAACTTGTTTGACACCATTGACTTATTTCCTAAACTTGTTTGACTCCATTGACGTTCTTTGATGAACGTGTTTGACTCCTCAGCAACCGATGGGAAATTACGGAACTTAAGCATTGTACACTTCGTTGCTGTTTCTGTTATCGCAAGTAGAAGCACAGTTTAAGATCCAAAGTGACGTTTTTTATAGACATCACTATATTTTTAAAATATATATCCATATATTCCATACATTTGTTTCATCAGATTTTAACATGATATGTCAGGTATTACTGAATCACATCCAATTCTGACATCCACATCGGCAACCATAAGATCAGCCCAAGCAAACAGGCCCGAAATCTCGGTGTCACTTTCGATGCAAACATGACACTTGAGTCTCACATAAATTCTGTCTGCAGGAAATCTTATTTTCATATCCGCAACATTGCCTTGGTACGAAAGTACATGAACAAAAGAACCGCCATCTCCTTGGTCCATGCCTGTGTGTTGTCACGCATTGACTACTGTAACTCACTCCTGCAAGGTTTGCCATCATGTCTGATCAGGAAGTTACAAGTTGTACAAAACTCAGCAGCCCGAGTCGCAACAAGAACAGCGAGACATGATCACATCACACCAATTCTCCAACATCTACACTGGTTGCCAGTGCCACAGCGGATCAAATACAAAGTTGTCCTGCTTGTCTTCAAGTGTCTCCACAATCAAGCCCCTCAGTATCTCTCCAGCATGATAACCAGATATCAACCTGTCAGATCTCTTCGATCCTCTCACCAGTTTCTCCTTCAGCAACCTGCACTAAAAACCAGTGGCATCACCAGCCGTTGTTTTCAAATTGTCGGACCAAACTTGTGGAATCAACTCCCACAACACCTGAGATCTAACCACGACCTGGACTCATTCAAATCACAGCTAAAGACTCATTACTTCCGTGAAGCATACAGCAACTAACTTTCCATCAGAGTTTCAAGCGCTGCAGAGCAGTTTTTTTCTGGATAAGGCGCTATATAAGTTTTTCCATAGATAGATAGATAGATAGAATTCTTTGTCTGTCTGAAGAGTAATATTACCACCCATTTGTGAGTCGTTGTTTCCAGACCGATCTGATTTAATCACCAACATAAAATACATATCAAATTTCTATTACTGCAATAACTGCGCAAATGAACTGAAAATTGTAAGGACATGAATATTTTAACTTAATTTTATGTTTATGACTCGAAGCAAAATGATATGACCTGAGTCATTATTATACATATTTCATGCAAATAACATTTATGCCCTTAAGCGCATGGGGTTTTACCAAAGTTTTAACTGTCTAGCTCTTCCCATTGCCTCCCACGTCATCCAATTGAGAAGATGTGCAGCTTGGAAACGGTGTAAGAATCTACACCGAAACGTCGCTCTATGCAAGAAACAAGAAGTTGTTATCCATGCTTTATTATTGACTCATCAACTTCTAGATGAGTGGGAGTGTAAGCCGTCTACATGGCAGTCAGCACCATGAACAACCTCAATCGACTGACGAGAGACAGCTTGAAAACGGTGTATGAATCTCCACCACATTCGCTGTGTGCAATAACAATAAGTTGTTACAGACGAAGTCGTATGCCTACTTCAAATAATGAACTTGTTAAATAAAACATCTTACCTTTCTTTTGGTGGGATCAGTTGTACAAATAAGTTAAGGCGCGCCAGTTTAATGTGGGAAGTGCAGAATGAGACAGGTCTTCAACACTCACAGCTGAATACCCACGGGGACAGGTTTGACAAACAAGTGATTGAGCGAGTTTGGTTTTACGCCGCTTTTAGCAATATTCCAGTAATATCACGGCGGGGGACACCAGAAATGGGCTTCACACATTGTACCCATGTGAGGAATCGAACCCAGACTTTCGGCGTGACGAGAGAACGCTTTAACCACTAAGCTACCCTGTTGACAAACAAGGATCATTGTAAAGTAAATATCACATATGGACGATACGTCCGTTTTGAACACATAGGCCCGTGTTAGACAGCTGGAGCTTCAAAGGCACACGAAGGCATGCGGTTTAGACAATCTACACGACGAACGTCTTTGACGACTGGGCTCCATCTGATGCTCTTACTTGGTATATACACTGTACCACACTCTACTACCAGTTGCATTGAACATGTGTGAAATTATTATGCTAATATTTGTATGGCGCCAATATCCAGCTCAGCCGCTCAAAGGCGCTAAAAATGTGTTTTCCTCGATCATTGGATGTCAATCTCAAATGGCACATCGTATTATCAATCTCAACTTCCCGGGGATCAAACAAGCCTTGCTGGCACTAGGCGGACCGAGTTAATGTGGCTTTCCCATCCTTGATCGAAATAAAAAATGAAGCGTACAATTTTATGGATGACAACGTCTTGTTTATTGCATTTAGGGACGTTGCGATGAGGATTCGTACACAGTTATCATGCTAAACGTGACTACAAACAGGTGATGAGAAGTATATATACATAGTATGTCATGATAAACAGCAGACTAACATAACCAACAGCATGTCATTGAATAACAAGTGACACATAATTAGATGAAGCCACTTGAGGACTGAGAACAACGCAAATAGCACAGGTGATGAAGCCACGGGGGGAGGGAGGGGGAGAAAGGGGGGGAGACAAAGTAGTAGTAAAAACAAGCTGTTACTGTGCTTTTAATTGAGTCTATAGCTTGATTATTTCTTCCATAAATTTGTATGCTTCATTTTTGACTCACCAACTACTAAAACGCCGATCACACAATGTGTGAAATCTATGGAACAAGTTTTTATGGATAACAACTTCTTTATTTCGTGAGTGCGACGTTTCGATACAGAAACGTCGCACTCACGAAATAAAGAAGTTGTTATCCATAAAAACGTGTTCCATATTGTACGTCTCAACTTCTAAAATGCCACTCAAACAAATTTGGAAATCGTTTACAAATACATATATCACAAATTAATATTTGCTTACAACCCGGGATAGGTGAATCGATGTAAATCATCTGTTTGGGTCCAGCTGATCCCTTCAGATCGATTCAAAAGGACTGTGTTTGTATGTAGGATAGTAGTCCATTTGGGACATTCACCGTGTGCGCAGTTCATTGTCCAGTCAACACTTCGTTACATTTACTAACCTGCCATAATTGGTACCCAATCCTCCGACATCCCACCACTAAGCCATTGGATGACAAGACATAAGTTCTAAGTAGTTCATTACTGTCGCCTGCTGTACTCCTAAAACAAATTAGATCGGGACCATATCCCGGCAGGAACAGTCCTTAGCACTGTGTTCCTATCAAATCGAGTACTCGCCTCCACCGCAGATCGATAATTACTCCTGCGTGAAGCAGAGCCGTGCTCTCAGCTCATTTGTAAATACGTCTTCTCGGGATCGGCTGCATGTGTGATATCCTCCCGAGTCTTGTTAACTTAACATCGTGGGACATCATGGTCAACAAGATATACTGGATTATCAAAGTGTGGAGTGTGTGGCACATCTGTCTGTTTCAATGGAGTTCCTGTGTCAAATGTCCCATGCCTTGCTACTGCAAAACGGGAACATTTGAGAAGGTAGCCAACTGCAGTGGGCTGGAAGTAACGTCTGAAGCCATAGGTACCCTGTTCACAGATCTACCCCCTCAGACAACGAATCTGTGAGTATACTTGTATATACATATACCGACTACTTTACTACAATCATCTGGAACAATGTCGTGTTAATCTGGTGTGTTAATACAGATATGTTTATGCTTCTGTTACATTTGGATGCCAATGTTTACAGTCCTTTGACAAAACGAGTATTTGGAATAAACTCTAACCGCCGTAAGTTTGTAACCTGTTTTTAGTAGTTATGGGGAAAGTAATATAGGAATACACGAAGAGGACATGCTATCACTATAACACTTTGTTGTCATAGAATGTCTGTTCATAACTGTATTGTTAAGATGCAGGAATGGTTCAGGAATCTGAAATACTTTTTTTCTGAATCGTGGCAGGACCGGGAATCGTATGTTCGAATCCCAGTTCTGATTAGATCACTTGTTTGTAGACTCCACAGGGTCGTAGGCTTCACCAGAGTGTTAAATGTCTAATAGGTATTACATATTGTAAGTTTATCAACGTAGCCCTCTCATTGTGGTACGTTGTGACTCTGTCATATCATGCAGTTCTATCGCTGTTATACTCACTGTCGGCTTGATGCGACGTTAAACATTGAATCTATAACTCACTCATTGTTATATACAGTACCTGTATCGCAGATATATTCACTGTCGTATATGGCTTCAATAATGTTAAAGCACCGTTAAAGTTTAACACACTAATTGTTGTATAATGTAGCTCTGTCACTGTCATAAAACGTTTCTATACACACTGTCCCTGTACGGCTGATATAATGTCCATGCGACGAAATATTTTAACTCACTCACTCACTCAATGTTATTCAGTGTAGCTCTGTCATTGTTACTTAACCTCACTATCGCTATTTCTTGAAACTCACGGGTCAATATATCAGCTGCTGAAAGTGATATATGATAGGATCATACGTTATGTACCAAAATATTTTCAAAATCAGACCCACTCACTCACTCCATGGCCCAGAGCGGTATTATTTTAAGCATTATCTCTAAAATAAGGATGACCTTTCTCAAGGTCCAGACTGACACATTTAGAGGCAAACTTAGACATGAAGGCTTGGTAGTTTTATTAGTTTTTTCACAGTGTGAAAACTCGAAACGTTTAAGAACATACATTCTTGCCTTTACATATTTTCACGAATCAATATAAATAAATTTTGAATCGGTCAACACGAATAAAAAGCGACAATATCCTTTTCATAATTGTAAGATATGTTTGCTGGAATAGTCCGTTGAACGATTCCAAATATATCATAAAAATGTATGGATCATTAAACAGTTCATATTAGTGTCATAAGTGTTGGCAGGCAAGGGATGAACGTACCATTAGCCATACACGATGAAAGAAAGTACGAATCCTCAAGGCTATCAAATTCATTAATGTTCGATCCAAAGCATCGATTCAGTAAGGAGAGATGGTATGGGGTCTAACGCAGCATTCAAAATTGTTGCACTCATAAGATAGGTACATGCAAGGGTGCGTGCGTGCATGTGTGCGTGTGTGTTTGTGTGTAGGACTTCCTGAACTAGTTCAGACTTACTTCAGTTGTATAGTGCTAGCCCAAGAAATAAAACTGTAGTTTAACATGGATACCTGTATCAAACAACTGATCCTTCGAGCCGGTCATTCCGTGTGACATCAGCTGAAAGGCGATGCCGGGTAACAATCAGCACCCTTTTAAAACCATCTGTTGATAAGACGCTGCCAGGGGATCGATCCACACCTCAGTGTGAAAACCCTCTTTCCCCTTGACCGCCGACACGGTCAACCAATTGGCATCGATCACAATAAGCCCCAAACCAGGTTCAACACGAGAGGGCGGTGTTCCTTTTCACAACCCTCAGTTCCCGTGTATACAGGGAACAAGGACTACAATTGATTCAATAGAAATGCTAGTACATTACACTGGAGGGAATAAAGGAGATATTCAAAGACGGTGACAATGGTATAGGGATCAGTACTGAAACATGTGCCTTAACAGAGAAATAGAACAGTGGAAGCCTGCTAGTCAACCATGTACTAAATTCTGGTGGTTTTAGACATGCTATTAATGTTAGTAAGCAGTCCTTTAAGCATCAGCTCTTCACTGTACATTCCTTTTCTACTTGAATTGTAGCTGGCAAGCATATTGTAGTTGCCGGATGATGTTTGTGTTGTTACTTGGGCCAAGTGGTTAAAACGTTCGCTCGTCACGCCAAAGACCCGGGTTGTGGTTAAAACATTCGCTCGTCACGCCAAAGACCCGGGTTGTGATTAAAACATTCGCTCGTCACGCCAAAGACCCGGGTTGTGGTTAAAACATTCGCTCGTCACGCCGAAGACCCGGGTTGTGGTAAAAGCATTCGCTCGTCACGCCGAAGACCCGGATTGTGGTTAAAGCGTTCGCTCGTCACGCCAAAGACCCGGGTTGTGGTTAAAACATTCGCTCGTCACGCCGAAGATCCGGGTTGTGGTTAAAACATTCGCTCGTCACGCCGAAGACCCGGGTTGTGGTAAAAGCATTCGCTCGCCACGCCGAAGACCCGGGTTGTGGTTAAAACATTCGCTCGTCACACCGAAGACCCGGGTTGTGGTTAAAGCTTTCGCTAGTCACGCCGAAGACCCGGGTTGTGGTTAAAACATTCGCTCGTCACGCCGAAGACCCGGGTTGTGGTTAAAACATTCGCTCGTCACGCCGAAGACCCGGGTTGTGGTTAAAACATTCGCTCGTCACGCCGAAGACCCGGGTTGTGGTTAAAGCATTCGCTCGTCACGCCGAAGACCCGGGTTGTGGTAAAAGCATTCGCTCGCCACGCCGAAGACCCGGGTTGTGGTTAAAACATTCGCTCGTCACACCGAAGACCCGGGTTGTGGTTAAAGCTTTCGCTAGTCACGCCGAAGACCCGGGTTGTGGTTAAAACATTCGCTCGTCACGCCGAAGACCCGGGTTGTGGTTAAAACATTCGCTCGTCACGCCGAAGACCCGGGTTGTGGTTAAAACATTCGCTCGTCACGCCGAAGACGCGGGTTGTGGTTAAAGCATTCGCTCGTCACGCCGAAGACCCGGATTGTGGTTAAAGCATTCGCTCGTCACGCCGAAGACCCGGGTTGTGGTTAAAGCATTCGCTCGTCACGCCGAAGACCCGGGTTGTGGTTAAAACATTCGCTCGTCACGCCGAAGACCCGGGTTTTAATTCCCTTCATGGGTGCGATGAGTGAAGCCCATTTCTGGTGCCCCCGCCGTGATATTGCTGGACTATTGCAACAAGCGGCGTAAAACCATACCCATACACCGACTGTTATGTTACTCTGTGGGCTTTTGCACTTGCACCCTAACTTCCCTTAACAAACGCTTCACACGATTTGCACACCTATGGGGAGTTGGGTCTCTATAATGACTTTCGGCTGAATGAGTGAATTATCGCCGCTTTGACCAATATTTCATTTATATCACGGCACGTTAGTTTGAAGTGAAAGGAAAGCCAAAAGTGAAGAAGGTCAGGATGTTGAACACTTTGGGGAAATTCACGGTCACTAATGTGGTGCTGTCTCAGAAACATTATTAGCGCAAACATGGTTTCCGAACCCTATTACTAGATCCTGACCCGGCTTGAAATGCAAACTGAGGTGCCCTTCACTAGAACACAAAATGCTGTGACCACAAAGGCATCGACTATTATCACATTCTTTGTTGATAATGTGCTCTCACATTCCCTAGTTCTTACCCGTGAAGAACCAGGGTAGAACTGGTCTTCATTAACCCATGCTTGACCTAAGAGGCGACAAACCGGATCGGGTGGTCATGCTGGCATGGTTTACACGTGTCATCATATCCCAACTGCGTAGATCAATGCTCACAATGTTGATTGCCTGGTCAAGCCTGGATTATTTACATATCTGGAATACAAATCTGGAATATTGGTGTGTGGCGTTGCACAACAAACAAACTATTGATTACATGTCTGTATGAAGGATAGTACGGAAGCACATTACAGTCATATCATTATCTATATTTAAAAAAAAGCTAATTTCAAAGTTCAAACAAATAAGTTCCAAGATACTACGTTGAATATTGCAGATACCACGTTCAATTCCAACTATCCCATGTTGCAATTTCAAGGGTGAGTGAGCGGGTATGGTTTTGAGCCGCTTTTAGCAATATTCCAGCAATACCGTTGCGGGGACACCAGAAATGGGCTTCACACATTGTTCTCATGTGTGGAAGCGAACCCGGGGTCTTATACGTGAAGAGCGCACGCTTTAACCATTAGGCTACCCCACCGCCCCTGCAATTTGAAGAACCTGTTGAAAATAGCAGATGTTCTGGATCTAAGAAAGGGTTGTTTGACGCTCTTTGAAATCTCCGTACAAAAACATGCTCAATTTACCACAAAAGTCGTGCAATGGAGACACGAACGGCAGAGGCTGTTAGAATATTGCACACAAAACGGAATGTTGACTGTTGGAAAGTAATCCCTCATCATACTGTCTTGCCGCAGAGTCACTTTCTGTCGCTCTGAATCTTCATGTCTTGATGTAAAAAGGAAACAGCGCAGACATCAAGGAGCCTTGAAGAGGAACAGTTGGTGCCCATGGGGATGCCTACGTCTTGCTTAAATGTCCTCTTCCAAAATATCACCTGAGTATAATCAGCGAGGAAGTCCTGCAGTAAAAGGCTGTAACAGTGTCGGGGAGCATGTGCCTGACTTTTGAAATCTCTGCTGAAATGCGACCCATGAACATCCGGGTTAGAATTGGTCTTCAGCAACCCACGCTTGTCGTAAGAGGCGACTAACGGGATCGGGTGGTCAGGTTCGCAGACTTGGTTGACACATGTCATCGGTTCCCAATTGCGTAGATCGATGCTCGATCCTGACTCGATTATTTACAGACCGCCGCCATATAGCTGGAACATTGCCCACTTCGGCGTTAATCAACAAACAAACAACCAAACCCAGAGTCCAAAGTACGACTCTGTAAAGTACGTGTTTCTGAATCCCGGGGAACGGTAAGCGCATTATAGCCTACTAGCACATGA